TAGATATGGTGGTGATGCAGCTCATCGTGTTGCTAATCAAATTTTAATTGAAATGGATGGTATGAGTGCAAAGGAAAATGTTTTTATCATTGGTGCTGCTGTTGGATGTGATATTATTCATCCAATATTTTTTAAAACAGGTAAAGATATATATCTTCATAGCATGGACAGTGGATTTTTCATAAACTTTTTTATTTATTCAGGTCGTTTCGATCATATAATTATTATTCCATTACCCGATGAACAATCACGCTTAACAATTTTTAAAGTTTGTTTAAAAAATTCACCTGTAGCTGAAGATGTCGATTTTGATTATTTGGTTAATAAAACGAACAAATTTACTGGTTCTGATATCAAGAATATATGCTTACGAACAGGCCAATTGGCAGCACGTGAATTTATAGAAAAACAAGAACAAACAACAACAACAACAACATTAAATCAATTATTTAAAATTAGCCGCTGCCATTTTGACAAAGTGATTGGTACTGCTACATCATCGGTCACAGACGATGAGATGATGAAGCTGGAAATGAATCGCAAGCGGCTTGGGACACTTCACGTTTTCAAGCCACAATCATTTTGATGATTTTGGGCTTGAATTTTAATTTTTTTTTTTAAATAAATATTATAAAAACATAGAGTTGTCTTTTTTTTATTTTAATCTGAATCTAGAATCGGTATATGAGACAAAAATCATATCATAGATGATTTTATTTATAATAAAATAGAGCTGCAGTAGAAATGGCTAATATTGATTCTGTATTTGGACGAATGTTTACCGATCCAAAAACTCCTAATAATCAAATAATTTCATTTCGTTTAATTTTTATTCTTATTAATAATAGATTTTTTTTTTAGAGATCATTAGTTCATCCTGATGAACCATTTTATTTTGCTGATATTTGTGCTGGTCCCGGTGGTTTTAGTGAATATATTTTATGGAAAAAACAATGACATTCAAAAGGTGTATTTATTATTTATTAATTTTTTGTATTTTAACGATTGTTTTTCTTTCTCTCAGGTTTTGGTTTTACATTAAAAGGCAAATCAGATTTTGCTCTTCAAAAATTTCTTGCTAGTACACCTGAAACATTTGATCCATATTATGATGTCAAAGATCTTGATGGTGATGGTGATATATTTAAATCAGAAAATATAGATGCTTTACAAAATTATGTAAATAAATGTACAATGCATAATGGTGTACATATTGTTATGGCTGATGGAGTAACTTGAAAGAAAACAAAAAAAAAAAACTAATTCATTTATTTTGTATTGTTTATTTAGAGATTTTCGGTAGAAGGACAAGAAAATATTCAAGAAATTTTAAGCAAACAATTATATTTATGTCAATTTCTAACAGCTTTGTCAATTCTTCGACTAGGTTAGAAAAATTTTTCAGTAAAGATTTTCAAGTGTGAGTCTTTATTTTTATTCGATGAGTTGATCATAAAAACATAAAGCGTTCTTCTCCATAGACTATTATTGAAGATTCAGATCGATCTTAACATAAAAAAATCACTGAAAGTTATCATTTGAGATTTTGCTTTGATTTCAGCATTCAAAATTTTAGTATTGTGTATCCCGTGACTGTCTGTGGGTGTCTATTCTTTTTTTTGTTAGTTATTTAATATCTTTAGGTGATCATTTTGTTTGCAAATCATTTCATGTATTTACTCCATTCAGTGTGGGATTTGTTTATTTAATGTATCGTACATTTAATCAAATATCTATTCATAAATTAGTTACAAGTCGACTAGCAAATTCTGAACGGTAAAAAGAAAAATAATTCTCTCGTTTTTTTTTCAAAACTTTAGATTTTTATTTTATTTTTTATAGATATATTATATGTAAAGGTCTTCGTGAAGATATTCGAGATATTGTACGATCATATATGTATGAAATAAATGTTCTTCAGAATAAATGTAATGCTAATTCTGAAGATAATGATGTTCAATCAATTGTTCCAATGCATATTTTAAAAGGAAATAAAAACTTTTATGAATATGTTCGAGATTCGAATAATCAGTAAGTTTAATTAATTAGATGTTGAAGAATTTAATTAAATATAAATTAATTTAGATTGAGTGAACATCAAATAAGAAATTTAAGAAAAATTCGTGCTTTTGTTAGTAATGCAACTTTGAGAGATAAT